GAATGGGGTTGCACTCCCTCTAAAGGACAGGGTCCGCAGCTTGAGAGTGCTCCTCAACCCAGAGCTGACTTTGGAAGCTCAAGTGTTGGCGGTGGCGAGGAGTGCTTTCCTTCAGCTTCGGTTAATCCACCAGCTGCATCCCTACCTGGAGGATAATTGCCTAGTGACAGTGACACATGCATTGGTTACTTCCTGGTTGGATTTCTGTAACATGCTCTACGTGGGGCTGCCCTTGAAGACAGTCCGTATACTTCAGATGGTGCAAAATAGAGCAGTCAGGTTGCTGACGGGGACTGGGCGTTATTCTCATATAACCCCAGTCCTCCACCAGCTTCACTGGTTCCCCATCGAAGTCCGGGCTCAATTCAAGGTGTTGATAATCACTTATAAAGCCCTTAACAGCTTGGGACCCGGATACCTAAAGGAACACCTGCGGCCATATTTGCCCGCCCGCCCCTTGAGATCGGCAGCAGAGGCTCTCCTCCGGGAGCCTTCTGTGAGAGAAGTCAGGAGGCCAAGTACCCGGAGGAGGGCTTTCTCTGTGGTGGCGCCCCATCTGTGGAATGCACTCCCCAGAGAGGTCTGCCTGGCGCTGTCTTTATTTGTTTTTCGGCGCCAGGCCAAGACCTTTTTATTCAAACAGTATTTTAATCATGTTTAATATTTAGATATTTTAATTATGCAGCCAGTGTGTTTCTGGGTTTTAATTGTAATGGTAATTGTTTTATTTGTTACTTTTGTGAGCCATCCCGAGGCTATGTAGCAAGGGGATGGCATGTAAAAACTTTAAATAAATAAATAAATAAATAAATAAATATCTGGAAGGGAACAGGCTGGGGAGAGTTGCTCTAGTCCATTCTCTTCAAGACTGTAAAATATGTAAAAGGATTTCCTCGGGTAATTCTCCTGTCACAGTTTCAGAGGTTCAAAGGTGCTCACTAATTCCTCAGTTGTGGGGAGCAGGAAACCCCTCAGGTTAGATGAAGCCAAGCCAAGTTCGTATGCAACATGTCAGAAGAGTTGAAAAAAGGAACAGACCAACTATTCTTTGGCCAACATCGGCATGGGAGCCCAACATTCCCACTTGAGTCCATTGGCAATGAGCTCATCTTGCTCTTCCAAAAGTGAGTGGACAGGTAGGCATAGGCTGGTGCTGTGGCAGACCCATATGTTAAGCTGGCATGGCTATCTTAGAGGAGCAGCTATGCCCCTCACACCCAAGTCGGTAGAATTGCTGAAATGTTGGGAAAGCATTATTTTTATGCAACCTGGTACCATCAGTGTCCTTGTTGGGAAAGCGTTGTTGTTATTAATTTGTGGGCTCTATTTTGTGCTTTTAATATTTTATTGTAATTTCTGTGCAAAGTTTTCAGCAGACAAACAAACCTATCAAGACAGCCCCTTCTGCGTGCCTTATGCCATATGCCCCTGTGGCTACTTCAGCACAAGCTATTCTCTCTGCTGGCCCAGCTATTCATATGTCAGGTAGGGGTGCTTTTACTGCCTGGTCCGGAATAAAATTATGCTTTTAGGAGGGGCAGGGGAAAGTACATGCATTTCCTTTAAGATTTCATTTTCTACTGAATTATTTTTACTGCTGCTATTACATGTAGTTATTTTTCCCCATTGTTAAGTCTGGATAAATTGCCCCTTTGTCTGTCTGACAGCCTGTTTTATGTATTCTGAAATTCTAAGAGTACTAACTTTAATACATTATGCTTTCAATTGAATTAAGCATAAATGGATGTAGCTCTGAGGTTACGAGCGCTATCGCTTATTTTCTCCATCACACCAGCCACATGACACCCTTCCTTAAATCCTGACTGTGGCTTTTGGTTTGAAGCTAAATCAAGAATATCCTTGCCATTATCAATCACAGCCATGCCCTCCCACATTTCTGTCCCCCAGAAATCCCTGTTTGCTCCTTAAACTCAACCATTCACACGGTCCCTGAAGGTCTCCAGCTGGGTTGATAGAGCAATCCAGTGGAAGCAAGGGGGAAAGACTCCATGGCAGGTGAACTGCCACTTCCTAAGTTCTGCTGGACTAATGAGAGTAGGGCAAAAGGACAAAGACTAGCACTCTGTGTCCTTCTCCTCTCTGCTTTTTTGAATGCCTTCCCATTGCCTGGAAACAATGTGGTTAAAAAGTAAGTTGCTATTTTGGCAACATGCCATTCTAGTTCTAGCAAGCCCATGACAGGGGCATGGGAGTGCTGCTTTAGTTGTCAGGAAAACCTAAAACCATAGCTTGGCTTCAAAATTCTTCTGGTTATAGAAATTATACTTGTTTGACTAAAAATTTGAAACTTAGCATCCATAAGTTACCTGATGAAACCTGCAGCTGTACACAAAACAAACTGCCACGGGTACAGCAAGTTAAAAAAATGCAGAGATTGACACATCTGTATTTTTCATGTAACGTGGCTTTGTTTTTTGCTTGAGTAGGGGAGATGCTCCAGAAGCATTTGAAGGGCAACCACAAAATTCCACTAGCTGGTTATCCCGTCTTGCTCGGAAAACATGACAATAATAGAATGCTGCAGGGTATTTATGGATTATGGGAAGCAAGTAACAACTTTAGAATGGCCCGGAACCATAATGAAGATAGGATTGAATCTACCAGAATGCACTGGGTTTGTTTTGATTCATTCTGTATGAGTTCTTGTCCTCTTAATCTGCCCCCTTCTATATTTCTATTGCTTAGACTTCTTTAAAAGTTGCCTGCTCTCAAATAATTCTTGGTATTTCTACCAAGCTTTTGTAAAGTTTGAGCTGTTTATTATTCACACCAGATTGGAAGACTTTTCCACTGACTTTTGTTGTGCTCCGTAAGCACTTTGAGGCTGACCAATCATGTAATTTTAAAAGGTCAGGAAATACGGTCAGTTATGATTAAAAGTCAGATATTTGTGGGTTTAAAAAAATGTCAAACTATAGCCTGAGCAAAGAAAGCTGAACAGTGTAAGTTTTCAACTTAGGCATGTTTCTCAAATGATCTGTATGTATTGCAGCTCAAAGTATATAAATATTACTCTGATTTCTGGAAAAATAAAATTTTTGTTCTCCCCTCACCTTGCCCCTGTGAACTGGAGAGCAAATGCTGTGGCTCCTCTAACCACAAAATTTTTTGGTTGGAGAAAAATAAATACTCCTGCTAAAGGACTAAAGGAGTTTCTTTTTACAGTACAAAACATGTGGCCAAGTCTATTAAAGATCCATTAAAAATAACCAGTTAGTGTTGTAGCAAAGACAGAGACATCAACAATATGTTAAGCATGTTGTGCACAACATATCGTGACAGCGCAATACTATATTTGTCTTCTTCGAAGTAGGATCCATTGGAGCTTAGTCCCAGCATGTGGTGCAAGACTGAAGTCTCACAGCATAATTCTGCACGTTTACACAGAAATAAGTCCCACTGAGGGAGCACAATGGAACTTTCTCCCAGTTAATTGAGTGAAGGATTGCAGCCTACAGGCATGTTTAGTCAAGGAGAAGGTGAGGGGTTGCCGTTTGACTGATTTGTGGCACAAACATAATACTAATTAAACCCAGGCAGGTATTGATTAGCCAATTTAGGCCTGCTGACTTTAATGGAATATTTCTGGCTTAATCAGAAGCAGGATGGTTTATCAATCATGTCTTCAGCAGTCCAAAATCATAATTATATGCCTAAGTGCATATGCTTAAGTTTCCAGACTTTGATGTAACTGAGTCACAACTGGATATAAGACTGAAACCTCAGATTACGATCTAAAAGACCCATCTCTTTTGTCTGGTTTTTGATCAGGAAATTGGTGTTCGGTAGTTGCTTTAATTCTGTAGATGTGTTGCTGATATTAGGTGTTTGCTTTTGTTGTTATTAATATTTTTCCTAAGTTGAGATACATCAGTTCAAGTAGCATAGAAGAATTTGAATAAACAAAGACATTGTCAAATCATTCATTTATATTGGTCCCATAAACTGCATTTGAACTTCTATAGACAAGTGACATTCCAAAGTCCATACATGTGTGCATTCAGAGTTGCTGTCTGAATTATTCTAAAAATGGCAGTACTTCAGAGTTCATCTCATTGAAAATCAACAGCATTTTATTTATTCTGAAAATGTGACCACCTTTTAGGGTTTTTTTTTTAAGTTGTTATTTCAAGTGTTTTCCATTAGATCACTTGGTAAGCATGGGAAACTACTGCTAAAGCATATTTTACAAGACAATGCATCAGGACCAAAAGAGGATCAAGCATGTATGGCTGCCTCAGGAACTGGACACAACAAAAACCAGATCTCTGGATCCGTCTTTGGATGTACATTGTTACCGATCATGTGCTTGAGGTGAGGGGGAAAGACTGAAATAAGGATTCCCAGCCTTCCAAACAGGCGATGGATCTTGTTAAAGCTGATTTTAAGACTCATCTGTTAGGTGACTAGATCTGTATAGAACTGGATTCATATGTAGAGCTGATTGCATATCTGATTTGTTGTGAAATGTCAGAAGTAATATTTTAACATCCATCCATCTGGTTTACATCCATCAATCCATCCATTCATCCATCCATCCATGTGTGCGTGTGCACGCACATAAAGATTGTCACACTAGCTTTCTACTATGAGACAGATTTTTCAAAATGGTCTTCAAGTATTGTACAGAGACAGTTAGAACAGCATATAGAAAAACAAATAGTATTAAATTATTATGAATTAATGAAGCTGCCTTATACCTGTTGGGAGTGAGAAAGATGGCTGCTTTGGGTACTCATTTTCAGGGGATGTTGGCTGGGCTTCAGAGGAGCCAGACTCAGAAGAGGAACAGAGGGGGGCTGGGAATGTGGTCCCTCCTGAGACACAGAGATGAGAGAAGTGGAGATGCTACTCTGAAGGCCAGGCTCCCTAGGTGGGCAGGCAGTCTCTGGGAATAACCAAGTTGGAGGGAGAAAACCTAGAGCAGGGAGTTTCTCAGACACAGACCAGGCAGCCCTGGCTCTTGAACCTATGACACCATGTCGGCAGAGGATCAGCACATGGAGAATAGGTGTGCTCATTTTCAGAAGGTTCCTCCTGAAGGGCATGGACTCAGGCATGCTCATCGGGAGAGTTCCTAGAGATGAATGCTAGATTGGGTTCAATGTACTGCTCTGTGCATGCTCAGTGTTTCATTCTGGGTGTTTTGTGCTTTTTAGTCCATCAAGAACTCTTTGCACGGAAAGGTCTGTGGTTTTTTGAATGTGCAAAGAAGGAACCCTAGCTCCTGACAATGCTGGATCAGAATATGGGTCCATATTGGCACAGTTTTATCTACACTGTTGTGTCCATATTGGCTGGGAAAGTCTCCCCAGGGCTTCAGGCTAAGCTTTTTCCCAGCCCCACCTGGAGATGCCAGAGACTGAATCTGGGGCTGTCTGTATGCACAGCTTGGTCTGCAGTGGGGCTATTGTCTGCATTTGTATGAATAAAATGTTGCATTTCATGTCAGGATAATGCTCATGCATCTTGTAATCGAAGTATGAATATCAAACATGTAAATCCTTTGTCCTGCAGACTGGTTGTTGACATCATTTCTATCACACACAAGCATCCAATGGCTCTTTTGTACAAACATTTAATGATTTAGTTGAATCACAAGGACTTGTTTGCTGAAAGATGTATGCCCTACACATCTTCAGTCTAAAGCTTAGGGTTCAGGGTCTTCAGCTCGAGGTTTTGTTCAAGTCCTACTGCTATGAAAATGTTCTCAATATATTCAGCATGAACATGCATGATCCAAATCTTGTTCCATTTTTTCAAGAGGGCCATTCATTTTTTCCCCTATCCTTTCATTATTGATTAGTGAAATCTAATTAAGTTTTGAATCAAGAGCACCACTGAAGGGAAGAATAAGGGCAGTGGTGTTTCTATAGTTCTTAGTTTGGGCTTGGAATGATTGCCATTCTAATACCTTTCTAATAATCTGAAGAAAATCAGCCTAGCCATTCTGCCCCTGTAAAGGCTTCTGATTGTTGTCGCATGTATTGATTTTAATTTTAACTGGAATTAAGGAAGCAATATAGAATATAGTGATGCTTAGAGCTAGGAACTTGTAGATTTGGGGGGAGATTTTGTGTTCTCCGTATGGCAAAATAGTAGCTGTACTTAAATTTTATTCATTATTTATTTAAAAGATTGACAGGGGTACAATCCTATGTATATTTAGACCAAAAATATAAAAAAGCGCTTCATCCCCCAGCATTCCTCAGTCAGAATGAATGCTGAGAATTGTCGGGCTTCTTTTCTGTCTAAACATGCACAGGATTGTACCCTTGGCCATATTTTAAAATAGTGACTCCAAGGTCACATACAAAAAAAATTAATCTGAGTCACAATAAAATATTAATAATCAAGATAAAGTCAAAATTAATAATAAGACTGAATAGCATCATATGCACCACAATCCCCAATACAAGTCTGACAATTATAGGCTAAGGTAAACAGGTAACATCATCATCATCAAACTTCTATTATGCCCAATAGCTGAAACTCCCTGGGCAGTTACAACAGTCTATTAAAATACAATCTAAAATACACCACATTATAAAACAGCATTTAAAGGTTGCCATACAAAATTTAAAAATCAAATTTAAAACACACCTAAAATTCCCGTAACAGGTAAAACTTGGGACCTGATGAAACATCTAGCAAAGCCTGCGTTGATTAATTAGATGCCCTACAACAAAGGACAGTCTTAACCTGGTGCCAAAAAGAAAGTCAGGTTGGTGCCGGGGGGTTCAGTGGAGAGCCACCCATAACTATTCCAGAACTAGGGGTGCGGGGAAGGACTCCCTGATCCTTGTTGCCACCAACCAAGCCTCCCTTGGAGGTGGCAGTCAGAGGCAGATGGTGCTTGGGCAGATGGTGGTTGGGAGAGGTATATATTTCTCAGGCCTGCTGAAAGGCTTGTAAGGACAGGGCTTAATGGATCACAATCGTAACAAGGTTTCACAAGTAGAGAGGCGCTAATGAGAAACCCCCACCCCTTGTGACTTTGAGAGCTGGACATGAGCCACCAACCTTGGTTTTGGAGTTCAGGTTGACATGGGCAAAACCTGGACTTGGCAAGTCATGCAATTTTGCATGTTTTAAATTCATGCAATGAAGAACATTTCAAGAACATCATGGATGTGCTGGGTCACTTTAGCACATCTAATTTAGCTAAATGTCCAATATTACAGCAATGGAAATTATGGCATAGTTTACCAATGCAGGCAAATGATGTACCATGCAAGGCTGTGGTTTAGCAAAAGGATTAATAAAGGATTTGTTTATTTTTAAGTTGATGCTTTTTTTCCTCCAAAAGAAGGAAAATTTCCCCTTTAAACACAATTTTCAGCTTTTTCATATATTTTTGCATTTTTTGTGTTTCATTGGCATTTTAGTTTAAATACTCAGTTAGCAATTGGGGACACATAATACACCTTTCATTAGCTGATGCTTTCAGCAGTGGGGAAACTGTCTTTCAGATTAACTCCAGAGAGCATAAGTGAGACATGTTGCAAGTAAACGCTGCAGAATTACGTATCCTTCATTTAGTCTTTGCTCCAAGCTGTGAGGTGACTAATCTGGAAACTGGTGCTTGTGCCAGGGTGTCTAAATAATCCCACTGCCATGGCCAGGCCACTTCCTGGTGAGTTTTGAAGACACAGCATTATTTCCCTTTGTTAGGGGTGTGTGTGGTTTGCCCCAGGAGATCGACAGAATCCAGGGGATTTCTGAATGCTCCTGGGACTTCTCCTGGGAAGAGAGCTGTGGAATGGTGAGATGTGGCAAACCATCTCCTTACTGTGCTGGAGAACTGTGGCCACTGAAAGAGGCAGCCTGTCACCCAGAGTGGAAAGGACATACGACCTGAAGTGGAAATGACCCAGCATGCACCAGAACAAGTGACTTTGCCTACTGTGCTCAGGGCAGGTAGCACAGAATTGCATTGCATCCTTGAGTGCTGCCCATCAGAGCTCTTCTGGGTGGTCCAGGGGATGCTAGAGTCTTCACAGAATTGGGTCCCTGGTCCCAGTTGTTGGATTACACTTTGAGAACAAGATCCTTTGTGTCCAGAGTAGACTGGAGATGCCTGGCTTCACCAACCTTGTGGGATCAATTTCAGTCACTGCAAGCTGATGACATGGACAAAGTGCTTATGGCAATGTGCTCAACCACATGCCCTCCTTGCCTCTCCTGGATAATAAAAACTGGCTGGGAGTGTATGATTGGGTTGGCTCAGACCAGGGGTAAATGCATTGTTTCACAATATGGTGGTTCCTGCTGCTCTTAAGGAATCATTAGCATGGCCACTCCTGCAAAATCCCACTTTGAACTCAATGGTATTTGACAACTACCACCCATTTGCAAATTCCCTTTTAGAAACGTAAAAATATACAAACAGAGGGAGTCAGAATGGGCCTCCTGGGCCATTTAGTCTGACCCCCGGCTCCAGCCAGATCTGCTCATGTAACCCCTAACGTGGTTGCCCAATCTTTCCTTGAACACACTCAGTGATGTGGCCTCAACCACCTCCCTTGGAAGCCCATTCCAAATCTTAGGGGTTCTAACTGTCAGGAAGCTCTACCTGACATCCAACCTGAAGCCTGGTTCCTCAAGCTTTTCCCCTTTGGAGAGCATCCTGCCCTCCACTGCAGGGAAGAAAAGGTCGTGGCTCTCCTCCACATGACATCCCCTCACATATCTATCAGTTACTAAAGATCCCCTCAGAGTCTCCTCTTCTGCAGCTGAAAGACCCAGTTCCCTCAATCTCTCCTCATATACCATCCCTCCTAACCAAGCTACCATTCAGGTGACCTTGTGCTGAACCGTTTCTACCCTTTTCTTAAGTAAGTTTCTTGAGAGCTTCATGGTGGCGCTACTGCAAGCACTCTGGAAGGATACTGATTATTGGGACCCTTTGCAGTTCGGGTTTTGACCTGATTACGGGACTGAATCCTTTGGATAACCCTTTTTGAGAGGACTCTGTTTCTGGAACAAAGCTGCAAGATAGGAACTGGTATTGTGTGACAATGTATTACCATGCAGTATTTATGTGCTCTTTTTTTCTTTTACTTTATAGCATGCATTTAATTCAGATGGACTCTGTCCAACGTTGGATGGAAGACTTGAAGCTCATGACTGACTGTGAATGCATGTGCATTCTCCAGTCTAAACCAATCAGCTTGGAAGACGATGCACAGAGTGAATGTTCCCTTCCATCCCAACATGGTGCCTGTAATAATTTACAGTCATTGCTGAAAAGAGCTTGGATTATAAGCACTGAGCTGACCAGGATTGTCCAAAAACTGGAGAAGAATCGATGGCAAAGGGTTCACAGCATGACTGTCAGAGTCAACTGCCACGTCCGCTCGATGATCAGTGAATATAACACATTCACAAGGAATTCTTGGGAAGAAATGCAACAGGTGGGAGTGCTTTGTAACTAGAATCCTTGCAAAATATGGTTTGCAACCAGTGGGCTATTATAAATCAGCAACTGTTTAGGAATCTAGGATCCCATGGAGCTGAAGAGGGGAGGTTTTGGCCTACAACTCCCATCAGCCCTAACCAGCATTAACTGTAGGTCAAAACATTTGTGGGGTGGGATTATTGACAGTCATCTGGAGGGTAGATTCTTAATGGTTGTGTTGTCAGTTTTGGTGGAAGGCCCATTCTTCTCCTCCTTGTTCCCAGCTCACCTGTCACCCAGGTGTCTCACCTGGGCTTACTTCATGAAGCAGGAGTGCAGGCATCGTGAGGGTGAACAAGCAAAGCATCCTTACCCTTTTAGCCCTTTGTTGTCTCATTAATGGGCAGCATTTAACCCAGTCCCAGGCAAAGGTCACGCCCTTCTCCAACCGCTTGAATCCTTCAAAGTGGAGATGCCAAGGATGTGTGGGTGATGCACATGCACTCTGCTGCCAATGCGCTGTCCCTCCTCTTTTGTGCTATCACACTCTTTCTACTATTCACAAACATTGCGTGTCAAATTGCCCCTCTCTATACTTTGGCCGCCTAATGAGAAGGAAGGACTCCCTGGAGAAGAGTCTAATGCTGGGAAGAATAGATGGCAAAAGAAGAAGGGGACGGCAGAGGATGAGGTGGCTAGATGGAGTCACTGAAGCAGTTGGTGTGAGCTTGAGTGGACTCCCTGGGATGGTGGAGGACAGGAAGGCCTGGAGGAATGTTGTCCATGTGGTCGCAATGGGTCGGACACGACTTCGCGACTAACAACATCAACAACAATACATAAAATGCTTGAAGGTCAAACTAACGTTCCTTGCTAATGTGTCTAACTGAAAAATGTGTTAACTAATGCATCTGACTGAAAAATGAAATGAAAAATGAAATGAAACAAAAAGTCCTTAAAGAAAAACCTGGGGAGACGTCCCCTTGAGTGCAATCCTGTGGTCCCTGCTAGAGGATGGTCTGGGGGAGTTTTAGGGGTCCCCCCAGGTCAGAAACAGCAAGCTCCACTATTAGACAGGGGGCTTGGATGTTGTGCACTTCCTCTGTGAGTTTGGTTGTGGTGCCTTCGCACACTGGGACTTTTGCAGATCTAGAACTCCATGGCCTTTCTGTGACTCCCCAGAAACAGTGTGGGGGAAAACTAGGAGTATATCCTGGAACTCAGTTCGTTGTTCTCCCGTGGGCACCTATGGGGCGGAAACACTTGAAGAAAGAGGAAACAATGGAAAGGAGGAAAGGTGATGTGCCTCCTCTGTTCTGCCCGCCTGGGTGAGGGTTTGGAGCTTTTGGAGTCTCTGGTTTCACAGCTGCTCTCTCCCAGGGCCAGGATTGTTGTGTCCAAGCAAAGAAGACAGAGGAAATGCTGCAGTGGTACTTTGTGGCAGAAGGGTATTCAGTATAACAGCCAGTCCTCCTGGTCACAACCCACAAGGGGAGTCTCAAGATGCAGAGTGCTGTGTTAAGTCACATCAACAAACCATCTCTAGAAGTTTTCATCTCCACTAGGAGCAGATCTTTTGTAAAGCTAATGGGTCTTAAGTGCCCATTCAAGACCAAGGCACTCCAAAGTATGTCACATTACAATAGTGATTTCCCTGACTCAGATCTCCACAAGCACCTCCAGGTGTGCTCCTAATCCTGCAGGCACCTATAGGGTGAAATGCGGTGCTCATTACCGGGGGAAGCTCTAACCTGCTTTTGGATCCTGATGGAAGATCCCTTCTTCCCCAGTTATTGTGAGAATTGCAGCTCGGATCAGAGAGAGCAGGGACATCTGAGAAGGAGTGATGGGAGATTTCAGTGTCTTTGCTTGTCAAAAAGTCCTGCTGCTCCAACCCTGTGAGCCCTGGGTGGAGGGTAGCAATGTTTTCTTTTTCATTGATTTCCTACTCTAAATTGCCCCTTAAACATTTTTCCCCACGTAAGGTTTCCAGTGCTCACTTACCTCAGACTCAACCCTGTTGATCTTTTCAACTTGGAATGAATTAATATTAGGTAGGTTTTTTGTTGTAATGAAAACGTTTTTAGAGGTTTTAAAACAGAACTCATGCTTTGAATCTACGTACAGCAGTTGTGTTATTCTTCAGATTACAAAAACAAAATGTATCTGACCTTCATAAACCAAAGATAGGAACCCCAACACATTTCTATTTCTTTCCTTTACAGTATGAAAAAATGCTAGTGGAAAAGTGTTCAGAACTTACAACAGTTACGGAAAGGTAATGTTAAACATCGTCATTTATTTTTTACCTTATGCTGAAATTGTATACAACATACCTGAATGGAAGTGCCATTGAACTCAGGTTTACCCCACAGTAGACAAGTATAGGATTGTACTGTCAGCAAACACATCTTAAGCCCCATAACCTGTTCAGTAACATCTTGAAGAACCATGAAGTTGACATGGATTTGAAACAAATTGATCTCTTTCTGCTCTCAGATAGACAGAAATTTGCTAATTCTGATGGACACAATAATTTCTTGCAAAGAACAGGGGGATGCTGGGCCCTCCCCCTGCCCTCTGCCTCCCTTTGTAGGAGAAAACAGGAAGTCCATATTTATGACTGTCAAGCATAAATTGGTCTTCACACCCAGTTTGCACATGTTAGGGCACAATGCTAAACATATTTACATGAAAAAGTCCTATAATTCACAGCCTGTCCCAGCCAGGCAGGCTGGGAATTAATTCCTATGCATTTAGAATTATGCACTTATTTTTATATCTGTGCTTGAGAGCAGCTCTTTGGTCTGATCTGACATCTTAATCCTGTCTCATTTCATATGTAAAAACACACAAACCTGAATGGAATATTTTCCCCATTTTGTTTCAGGTGTGTACAGATTGAAGACGAACAGATATTGAAATCTATGAAGTCTTGTATTAATGACACACTAACCACTGTTGCACAGTATTTTGGCCAATTGATCGAACTAGCTTTAACCCATGAAATAAAGGTAAATACCATTTTGACAGTAAGCAAAATATTTGGAATTGTGTATTAAATTTATGCCTAGGTTTTTCTGTCCTTAAGATATCTTGAAGCATCTTTGGGGATTGAGACTGCACTCTGATTGTTCCCAGCTTGCACGATCGAAACTAGCCTTCCCTACTTTGCATTCTGTCCCTGTGACTCTGCTCCCCAGTTTCAGCATACAGCTTTTAAATCAAAGCAACAGAAGCAAAACCCTAGCCCAGACATAACTTCTAGAGAGGAAATGTTTGGAAGGGAATGACATTTGTTTTGGTCTGTATCACACAGAACCTGGTAAAGGAAATAAATTCATCAGATAATCTGTATTCCGCGGAATCAGCTACAAGCAACTTATTCAGTCTTACCCAGGAGGGCTCCCACTTGTGTCGCATCATTGCGAAGGTAAGCCGTGCTTGAGCTTGGTCATTCTGAAGAACCTTTAGGGGTTTTGTGAGCAGAAGGTAGCTCTCAAAGAAATTCCAGGTGGCGTTTTAGAAGGTGAAGTGTCCAGGAAAGCTATTCTCCATTGTGAGAGGAAAGCCAGAGATCTGCAGAACTACAACTCTTCCTATCTCCCCACACCCTCCTCTCTCTTAATACATAACAGTCAATCATCATCATCACCACCAGCACCACCACCATCATAACCTATAACCCACTCCATAAGGGCTGTCATAGTTTAAACAGTAAGGTAAAGGTAAAGGTTTCCCCTTGACATTAAGTCCAGTCATGCCTGACTCTAGGGGGCAGTGCTCATCTCCGTTTCCTAGCCGAGGGAGCCAGCGTTTGTCTGCAGACAGTCTCCGTGGTCATGTGGCCGGCATGACTAAACACCGAAGTGCACGGAATTCTATTTGCCTTCCCACCAAAGTGGTACCTTTTTATCTACTTGCATTTGCGTGCTTTCGAACTGCAAGGTTGGCAGGAGCTGGGACGGAGCAACGGGAACTCAACCCGTTGTGCAGATTTGAACCGGTGACCTTTCGATCAACTCCGCCACCTGCAGGTTAAAAACAAATACAACATGTGGTAAACAGTTCATGTATTGCAATACCAGGAACAGAACAGCAGTTATACAATTCAGCAGAGTCCCAAGCAGTCTAAGGAGGAAAACTTGAAAATGTCAGAAGGGCCTCTTTAGGGAGACCGTTTCCAAGCCATGGGGCCACCACAGAAAAGCCTCTGTAGTTTGCTACCATTCATTTTGTTGCCTGAAGCAGAGCTTTACCTTTCTCTTTTCGCTGGAGCTAGTCAAAGTAAAATATACATAATGGGCAACTAACACTCTTGATTTCTGAACCTCTGCCATGAATTTGCAAACTTTACAAGTAGGCAGAAGAAAATATTTAAATCAAGTATTTTAATATGCCTATTTACAAATGTGAAAAATGCTCCTGACATTCAGATATACTACACTGGGGCTAAGTAGACAGGTACTGAAGGATACCATTCCAGAACAACTTAGGGTGCCACCCTACGGATCTAAGACAGAAAAAACTCCTACATCTTCCAGCATGCACTAGCCAGCTGTCTGAGGAAGCTGCCATGTGTAGGACATTTTCTGTCTCAGTGGCATAGGATTACAACATTAGCTGTTTAATGGGGAATGGCTGCCAAGTGCTTTAAAAACAGCACAAAAATCTGCTTGAGACTATTAATGGAAATGCCTTGGGCAGAGCAACACTAGGCAGTATCCCGGAGCCACTGGATTGTCCAGAATCCCAGCTCTGAGGGCAGGAAATTTCTCCGCTCATGGAGCTGGGGATTGGCACTCAGGTACCCTCTGCTGCTCTCAAAGAGCATGGAAAGAACTGAAGAAGGGGCTAGTGGGTGTTCTTGGGACTGGAGAGGGATGAAGTCTGTGCTTGGTCAGTTTGGCAATGTGCCCTGGCAGTGCCTCTGCTTCCTTTCCTTCCCCTCCAAAGCACCACAGCTGGATGGTGACAACCAGCTGTCCAGTGGAAATCCAGCTGTTTGCAGGGCTAGAGGAGCATTCCTCCCGCTTTGCACTGCATGCCCGTGCCCTTCTTAGCTCTGAGGGTTCTTTCCATGCCGGAGGGACTGCGGCCCAAAAGGCCATTGGAGAACATTTGGGTCTTCCCAGCACGTTATGCTTAGGGCCGAACTGCAGGCCCAGCTTGGTGTGATGCAGAACAGTTGATACGATGCTTAGAACGGTTTGTGCTTGGTGACAGGGCTATGGCACATCAAGGAGGATAGTTAGCCCAACTGGAGTTCCTATGCTTTGTGGGAAGGATATGCTCATTGGTAGCAATGGTGTCTTTCCTTTCATGCCAAACAGCCGGGTCAGGGTAGGTTCCATCTGGTGAATGGGATGGAAGGAATATAATGAAGCCCCCTCCCCATGCATGGCAGTCCTGATCCTTTGCAATATGAACCAATCTACTATAATCATCTGCAGTCCTCCTGGAGATTCCTTCCTCGAAAGAGGTTCAGAGGAGGACAACAAAGAGGAGGGACTTCTTGGTGGTGGCTCACAAATCATGGAATACTCTCCTCAGTGACGTCCACCTGGTGGCAACAATGACATATTTCAGTGTCACATTAAGGATTTCCTCCACTCCCAGGAATTTGAAAACCTATGATAAGGTTTTATGGTCTTGGGATTACTATTGTTTGTGGAAATTATGTTATTGTATTTTAGGGTTTGTAAATTTAGCAGCAAGCTTTAGCTGTTGGACAGTATATAAATGTGGTGAATAAAATGAAATGGAGGAATAAAACTCTAGTTGCATAACTAGTAAATTGCACAATCATTTGTTACAAATATCTTAATTCCAAACAGTCACCAGGTTCTTCTGACACTTAAAAAAAATTGAATTCAAAAGACTTTATAGCAGTTTAATCCATTGCCTCTACATATTTTCATCATTTCAAAAGGATAGCTAGCAAGTCATTTTTGCTGTCAATCACCATGATTGAATGATCTCATGAAAAAAAAAAATCACACCTAGATAGTGTGTTGACATCCTTTGTACTGATACAAGGTTCCAAGGAGTGGTACGAAAGAGAAGAAAAAAACCGTATCTTTTATATATCTGTATCCATATCTCTATTATCCTTGGTATAGTCACTTTATGCTGACTCAGTTTAAAGAGGATGAGAAAGAAATCACTTGGAATCCTCTCTGGGTGTGTGCATGTAAGTGTGCAAGTTGCTTGTACACTTACTGGGAAATATGCCGTATTGGCCATAGTGAGGCCTTCTTCCAGTAAGCCTGCACAGGTGTGTATTATAAGTACCTTAAATGAGTGGCCCTGTAATAACTTTCCATCCAGGATTGTGTTCCCAGCACAGTCCCTTTCATCCAGCAATGCCTCAGTCTCTAGAAGCTGAATGCCGATAGCCGAGACTCCTTGTCTGTCTCCTTCACCTGATCCATGCTGCTCTCAACCGGGAGCAGCTGCCACAGGCAGGGTTATCCGCCATGAGTACATCAGATCTTTGTCTGTGGCTGAGATTTCTGATTACGTTGGAAATGTGTCTGTCCTCACGTTCCCCAGACAGAGGGTGGATCTCTATGGAGTTCATTGCATGCAGTTCCAGTGAATGATACTCACACCAGAAAAGTACTTGTTCATAAGGGGATCCCCATGCATGGGGATAATTGGTTCAAACCATGTGGCCTTCTGACTGTTGTTGTTGTTGTTTAGCCGGAAAGCTGTTTCTGACTATCTGTAACCCCATGGAGAACATTCCTCAAGTTCTCCTGTCTTCCACCATCCCCTGGAGTACACCCAACCCCACACCCACCTCCCCAGTGGCCCCACCCAGCCACCTCAACCTCTGCCGTCCCCTTCTCCTTTTGCCGTCAATTGTTCCCAGCATCAGGGTCTTTTCCAACAAGTCCTTCCTTCTCGTTAGGTGACCAAAGTATTTGAGCTTCAGCTTCAGTATCTGGCCTTCTAAGGAGCAGTCAGGGTTGATTTCTGATTGCAGAAGCAGCTAAATAATGCTAAGCTGAGAGCCCGTGTGGTGCAGCGAGACTCAGGCAATCTGGGTTCTAGCCCCTGCTCAGCCACTAAGCTCACTGGGTCACTTTGGGCCAGTTACAGATTCTCAGCCCAATGCCTCACAGGGTGGTTGTTGTGAGGATAAGATTCTGAGCAGCAGGAAAGGAATGATGTAAGCCACTTGGAGCTCATTGGAAAAAAGGGGGATATAAATAAAACAAATAAATAAACATACTGCAGGGTATCTGTGTGGGAAGCTAGGGTTGTAGCTCACCGGTAGAGCACATGCGTACATGCAGACGTGCCCAGGTTCAGTCTCTGGCTGAGAAGCAATTGTGAGCGAAACCGTGGAGAGAGCCCACAGGACAGGGCCAGGTGGACTAATGGCCTGACTTAGGAGCAGGCAGCTTCCAGTGAGGATTAAGGATGCCGTCCTATCCAAGGTGGCCTTGGTGAGCTTAGAGGCTTCCGAGCATCCACTGCAGAGCAGGAGCGAGGATGATCTTTGTCTCCCCAGTCCTTCTGCTCTGCAGTGCATCTGGATAGCCAATTTAGGATGCTGTGTATCTTGTAGGTCCCAGTCTCCCCTCCCCTTCCCACTCATTTTCATAGTTTAACCTATGGCGTGGGAGAATGCACATTTTTGTTTTCTGGTTTTGCCCCAGCAACTATATTTGCATAGAATTCAGAAAGTAAAAAAAAAAGCCCAATCACTTGTGAAATACAAGCAGAGCCCATGTAATGAAAGTTTAATCTTTAAAAAGTGTGATTCAAGGGACTTTCAGATACATGCCCACAGTGGGTAGACGGACAAAGGGGGAAACAAAACCCAGGGAAAGTAGCTTTTTCATTTCCACAGAAAAGCAGTGCAGATCGTTCTTGTGTTGCTATTTAGCATTAGCCTCCCACCAGCTTCAGCGAACTGTTTAAGAATTGGTGGCTTGAGGCTGGTGGCTCTTGCATTAAGTTTTCATTCCAGAAATCAATTGAACTTCATTCACTTTTCCTTTGGCTGTTCCCATGCCGGTAAAGCTTTCTGAACAGCATTATTGCTGTGTAATGCAAATGAAAGAGGGAAAAGGAGTGATGTTACGGAATTGCTAAACCACTAAAGTCGAGATTCCAAACCCACTTATCTGCAGATAATCAGTATTAAAATGACTAATGACCAGAACTTCTGCAACGCTAAGCAGAATTAGCTTGATTTTATTTATTTATTTAAAACATTTTTATATTGCTCTTCAGCTGAAAAATCGTTCTCAGGACAACTTACAACCATTAATAAGAAGACGTTCTCTCAGGCTAAAAATCACGATGCAGAAGGAAAAGGATTGGGCGGGAGGAGGAAAAGACAAACTCAAGCCTTTTCAACAACTCAAGATGTTGTTTTTGCTGTTGATGATGATCATGGCGGCGACCTGTTGCATCTTATTTGACAACGTTGGCTGAGCCTGAGTAGTTGTCTGATGCTGAAATGTCCTATGATGCTGCAGAGGATTCTCAGTGAACGCTAAATGGAGGGAGCTGCAGCCACCAGAAACATCTGGAGCTGTTGGACTGGAGAGCCAATGCAAGCAGTGGTGTTGGGAGGGCAGTGCTGTGCAGATGTTCCCTGCCCCGGGATGTCTGAGTCCCATAGTCATCCACAGGTGCTGATGCCAAGCCTAGCACAACTTATTTCCCCCTCATTGGGTATGTTTAAATTGAAAAAAAGTAATTTCTCCCCAAACTGGCTGTAACCTGGATCTGGCCAGGGAATTGTGGGAATTGTAGTTTAGCACTTCTAGAGGGTGGCAGGTCAGGGAAAGGCTGCTGTATTGGAAACAACCCACAGTGCCATTCGGAAGATCTGATGCAGCATAAGCTTTCATGGACTAGAGTCCACACTTTCAAACACACAACATGTTAGTTGTGGGTATATATGGTGATGGGTATCTATGTATACACACATGGCTACCGAGAAGAAAGGGCAGGGGTTATAAACAAACAGGACAAAATGGAAAGGCAACCAAAAGTCGGCGATGCTTCTATGTAGATCCCAAATGCATACAAGACCAGAGTGTCTCATCCAGAACAGTAGTTAGAACTGAAGTTGCTGATAAAGTCTATCTCAGTTTTATTTATTTAGTTTTGAATTTGTATGCTGCCCACTAAGCCAGATAGATTCTCTAGGCAGCTTACAGTAAAATACTAAAAAACTACAATAAAACCAGTTAAAATAACAATAAAAACTTAAAAATTAAATGTCGCAATCACACCAAGTAAGCAGAACAACAGATGTTAGACTGTTCTAACTGTTCTAACTGTTCTTAGATGTATTCAAAGAAAAGAAACCATTTTTTCTGGTGCTGAAATGAAAACAAAGTTGGTGCCAGGTGAAATTCTTTGGGGTGTCTGTTCCATAGATGAGGGGCAGCCACCAAGAAGGCCCTTCTATTTACTGTCTCCTTTATCTCTTTAAGGGATGGCTCTTTAGTAGGACCTCTTGCCCAGATCTTAATGGACAGGTAGGTATATATGGGAGCAGATAATCCTTTAGGCAGCCAGATCCTAAGCTGTTTAGGGCTTTATATGTCAAAACAAGCACTTTAAATTGGGCCTGGGCTACAACTGGCAATCAGTGCAACTTATAGAAGACTGGCAGAGCATCTATCCCCCAGCATCACCTTCTGGACATGGTCAGCCAGAAGGGAGTGAAACCATGACAGGTTGTATCCTTGTTGTTTCCTCTTGGAATGCATTTGTTGGAATGGAGCTTTGATGAGTTCAGAGACCGGCTGCTCTGGATCGTTGAAATGCTTTCTTCCTGGTTTGTGAATATTTCCATGCAGACATCAGATTTGTCTCTTGCATGGACAACTGACAAGTTTGTCCTAGGTGGACAGGAGAAAAGCACTGTTGACAAGCTGTACCCTAGATCACATTGCAGGCTGCTGAAAGAAGAGTTCCCAGATGATGTGGCCAATGTTAAATCCTGTAATGGTATTGGATAGAGTAGATCTGCTGTACTGTGTTTGTGGTAGGGCCCAGCTCCTGGGAGTGGGCCTTTGCTAGTTAGTCTACTGTTACTGGTGGCTTTCACTAATGGGGTTGTCTATAACTTATTGCCACCCAAGGCCTATGAGAGGGAAGGTCCCTGATGACAGGCTAGAGTAGTTTTAGCTTGGAGAAACTGTATATGTTGAATTTAGATTGTCTTTCGGCTGGTAGACACATAGGCACTGTTAGGAAAATGAGGTGGGGTTATAGGGTTTTATCCTCCAAGGAATAAAGAATCCACAGCAGTGACAGAAACTGGGATGAAATTCAACCCTTTCCAGCACTTGTAGAGATGGTGCCCATGAGATCCAAGTGAAATGATCCACACATCCCTGACTAATGTGCTGACCGGAGCACAGTTATCCTTGGATTTTGCACTTCTTTGAATTTTGTGGTGTGTTTATAATGTGCACCTTGTTGTAAAATACATTTATGTGTGAGAGAAAATAAATTAAGAAATGCATATTATTTGAGAAAATATGCTCTAAAATATACTTTGTAATACATTTTTTTTAAAAGTTCACATTGATGTGGAAACAGGAAAGCAGACATGAAACTGACACGGACTGGAAATAGACTGATCTGTCCATCTGAGTGGAGTTCTTGATCATGGCTGCAGTTTGCCTCTTCAGAAGTGTTCTAGGCACATCCATCATGCGCAACTGTTCTATAGGAAAGGGACAACTTCCATTTCAAAGAGACTAGACAAAGAGGCTGTTGTAAGGGGGCATTCACACATCATGCCTGTAATTCTCTTGTGTGTGTGTGTGCATATGTGGGCGAATTTCACTGTTGTGAAAGTCTGCCTCTCTGATATGTAGCTCAGCACCTCCATATTCCCCTCCTACACTTCAACACTTACATGCTTACACTATGAACACAAAACAGAGTGCTTCATGCTACTTTAAAGTAAGAATGTTTGTTGGCAAAGGCCTTCTTTCCAGCTGTTTTGGGCTTCCCTCCTTCTTGCTTGGGGCTGTCACATTTTCATATGGTATGCAGAGTAGTTAGTGGGAGCAAGAAACAGAGAAATGTTGAGCAGTAATGTTGTTGTTAGTCGCGAAGTCGTGTCCGACCCATCGCGACCCCATGGACAACACTCCTCCAGGCCTTCCTGTCCTCCACCCTCCCCCGGAGTCCACTCAAGCTCACACCAACTGCCCCAGTGACTCCATCTAGCCACCTCATCCTCTGCCGTCCCCTTCTTCTTTTGCCATCTATTGTTCCCAGCATTAGGCTCTTCTCCAGGGAGTCCTTCCTTCTCATTAGGTGGCCAAAGTATTTGAGTTTCATCTTCAGGATCTGGCCTTCTAAAGAGCAGTCAGGGTTGATCTCCTCTAGGACTGACCAGTTGGATCGCCTTGCGGTCCAAGGGACTCGCAGGAGCCTCCGCCAGCAATACAGAGGGGGAAACTGCAGAAATGTTAGAGGGTGGATGAGGGAAGCACAAGTGAGAATGTGAGGAGTGGCAGGGGGTTTCCCACTCTGGGCACGCGGTTTCCTAGCTGTTCTGGACAACACGCAATGCAATCACAGAGATCGATATTCAGTTCGGAAACAAGCCATGATAAGCAATACTGGACTTCAGGGTAATGGATCTCAACTTATTTATCAAAATGTCCCAACAGGAAGGAGGCATCGCTGCCCTTTTCAAGATCTGCCGACAGGATTGCTTCAGGTGTCTCTATCCACAGACCCTCAGGACTCTGGCATCCATCTGCTGCGTGGAAGAAGGACTCCAGCAGCTGGAGAAGGTATGATCACCTCCACCCTGTGTCTCTGCAAAAGCAATTCATTTGCTGCTATATGTGTGATCCAACCCAAGAGACAGCAGCTAATTCCTTTCCAGGAAGCAACACAACCAAAAAGGTTTTTCCACCAGTACTCCACTTCTTGAGATGAATTGTTCATGAGACCATTCTTTGATATCCAAATGGTCGGTATAGGTAAAGTTTGGCAACATTACCCCTTGAAATCAATAGCAAACCTCTCATTTATTTTCACGGCTGGGAAGAGCACTTACAATATGTCAACCTGAGAAACTGCATCTGTAAATCCTAGGCAGCTTACGAAAGCCCATTCTTCTGCTGGCAGTTTACAAATCTTCCAGTTGTACTTATGTTTTTTTTTTTAAGGTAGCAGAATGTGTCAAAGAGAGAATGAACAAAGAGTTTGTTCAAATTTTGCCTTAATTATTTGCTTTGGGCAAACTTTTGGCTTTTAGCTCCACCCCGGGGCCCTCATCATGCCTTCCCCCAACTGCAGTAGGTGGATACTAGTGATTCAAAGCAAAAACTAAGGTCTACAGGGCAAGAAAGCTGCAGTGGCTATGCCCTGCCCCCTTTATGTGTCCTTGTAATGCCCCGAGGCACGAAACTACACACATCTCTTCTTCCTTGTCTAATGCGATCAATTCATTGAAGGAACACCCATTTGAAGGCCATACTTTTAGTGATTGAGGTCATTGGATGGCACTGGGTGGACCCATGGACCAACTGGAGTCCACCCAGAGGAGGAACTTTGGTGTATCAGTTCCATGTCTCTGAACCCCTTCCCTCTATATCTCAGGCAGCGGGACAATGTTATATCGTTTTCAATGCTTCTTGAAAACACTTTTATTTCAGGAAGACTTCCTAATCAGCCAGTTTTATTAATTTTGTTTTTAAATATATTGTTTTATACTTTTATCTATTTTATCTTTTGTTGCTCACTGCTCCAAAATCTCCGCACTCCACATCTCAAAAAGAGGAAATATAATTCTAGTAACCTAGGGAGGAAAACTCATACCTGAAGCAATGTGCTATCCGCTACTAAACACACCAGTGCACCTCAGCGTCCATCAAAGTTTGGGAACTACCATGGAAACATGCACATGCCTGTCCTTTTCTACTCCAGGGAAAACTCCCTGTAGGGTAGCCATTTGCCCTATTTTACACAGTCCAGTCCTCTATGTGAATGTGTCCTTTGTTTAAAGGACCGTCTAGTCCAAGGGCTGCTTTAAAGATGAAAAACCTTAACAAAGGGGAGAGCTGGACCTTCAAGTTGCCCATCAGAGGTTAGGACCTGGGCAGCAGACTAAGAAGGCACCATATCACTGTCCCCCTCCCTAAGATGAACAGTCTATCTATTTAAAATAAGGAACTATTTGGAAGTGTGCACCTCCACGTGCATATACACAAATCTGTGTTCTCTTTTGCCTTTATTATTGGTGAAGCCAAACTGGCTGCCCTACTCAAAATCCACAAGCAAGTTTCTGATTTTACATGACTTGGGCAAAGATTTTACTTTGCTTCTTCCTATCTGGTCCTTCCGTCCTTCATTTTGCACTCACTTTTAATCAGGGTTCCAGGGAACACACTACATTATATTTTCCCTCCAGCCTTTGCCTCAAAAACTTCATACAGCCCAAGGCTAAAGGGATCCTTAAGGCCTCCAACAGCTCACTTCCCCCCAACTTTGATGGCATGGCACCAAACTTCATTTGTTCTGCATCTTGGGGTAGGTTATATGCACACTCCAATTTTTCTTGCTCCCTTGATTCTGTTTACTTTCTGCTTTGTCTGCTTTGTCCCAGAAACTCAGATGGCCTCCCCACAGATGTGTGTTACATCTGTCCTCTTTGCCATCTCCATCTGTCATTAGGCATCTCTCTCTTCCGATGGCGCCCTGTATCATTTGTAGTGTCCTGTGCCTCCTAGCATTTCCATCCCCATCCTCCCTTCTGCTCACTTACATCTGATCAAATAATTGCTGATCCACATTGAGTACTGTCTGTGTAAATACTTCGGCCTTCTCTGGCATACTCCACTGGGCTAAACTCTGGCTTCTGGTGTGCTTGCTAATTCCTTCTACTAAGCAGACCAGTTCCCCCATGGATCTTGGTTCAAGACCCAAGCACAAGCTTATTATGTATTACCCTTCTATATTGCCCAATACCCCATACTCTTTGGGTGGTTCACAACAATTTAAAACATAAAATAAAGTATAAAATTAAATAGACTACATTACAAAATAAAAGAGAATTAGAATAAAATCTAGCAATACTAGAAAGATTTACAACGCAATACAGAATTTAAAACAGACTGAAACTAAAATTCCTGGGAGAGTTCCTGGGAAAATGGGAAGAACTCCACCCTGCAAATCAGAAGGAAGGCAGGGTTGGTGCTGGGCAAGCCTCCCTTGCCAGCTCATTCCAGTGCTGGGGTGCCACCACAGAAAAGGCCCTCCTTCTAAGAGCCACCCACCTGATGTCTCTTGGCAGGAGTTCCCACAGAGGGAGTGCTGAGGATGATTTTAGGGTTCCTCCTGTACACAGATAACGTGTACTAGCACTATGCACACCCCAGTGCAGCTGCTGTCTTATTAGCTTGGCTAATAAGCTAATAATAATTAGGAAACTTTCTGAGCCCTGCACTTGCACACTGCTGCAAAGTTGCCCAACTGCGATCCAGTACGTACGAACAATGATCAATAGCATCCAGAAGCTCCTGTGATCCAGTGATGGACCTGGGTGCTCCTTTCGCAGCCCATCCGCATCCAGCAACGCTTTGAGTTGCCTTCAAGTCCTAAAGAATAAACCACTAGCTGTTCTTTCCGCCTTCCCACTTTTGCTTTCAAGCATCACAATCCATCCATTTCTGTCACCAAACACATTTCCATGCTTCATACTGTCCCATTAGAATGATAACCTGTTCAGTTGTCTGTAATAATAATATCTCTAGTTACCACGTACACGGCGAGAAGTAAATATAGAGTTGTCTGTCAAGAAGTACAGGAAGTGATTACCTCCAAATGTGTTAGATGACTTTGTGCAGACTTTGTGTTCTCCAAAAAATTAACTTTCACTGAAATGTGTAGAGGGTTAGATAGACTCAGACCTTTGCCTGTCATCTCTGCAAAGTGTCATATTTTGAATTGATGAAGTGACACGTAAGGGATAGAATTGCGCTGGTTCTGAGACAAATATAACAGCTGAACACCAGGGAGAGGTTTTTAGCGATGTATTATGCAAGCTAATTTTAACTCTCAGGGGTACATATTTGATAAACCCTTTGTCTAAACATGGAAATACTGCCACTTAGGATTTGGACAGCTCCTGGCCCCCCTTCTGTTCTCAGAAGTACATTTTTAAACGTAGGAAAATGAGCATTATTACAAGTCACTAAATCATTACCTCATCCTTCATATTTCATAAATGCATCTTGTAATGTTTGAACAATGTGGCTCTTCAACTTAATGATAAATGGTTTCATTTCTACTTTACAATGACATGCCTCGTAATTTAGTACCTAGAGCAGATGTGAAGACTGATACAACATCCACAGCAAAAAGTGGAAACGGTAAGCCTGTACTTGAAAAAAATCAAGTAAGATTTTTTCCTGTGTTTTAGTTGGGTTTGGTGTTGTTGACAGAGATCTCCAGTCCTTCTGTCTCCAATACCTTTGTAGCGAATTATAATGTTTTAGAAGATCTTAATTTGTAAGGTTTTCTTAGGGATAGGATGTTTGAGTTCTCCAAAAAGTCTCCAGCTTTCATTGTGAAGCTCAGTTTGGCTTGGTTCTGTTTTCATTTGCAAGCTGACTTTTGTTTTCCTTAAACAGAAAAAGTGAATGTTTCTGACCACATTTTTCAAAGTGTGCCCATTCACCCACTGACTAAAACATGGAACGGTACTTTTTTTTAAAAAAACACTTTTCAAAGTGTACATTCTTCAACAAAACAAAACAAACATGTTTTGAAGGAGATTGCAAGTTAGGAATGTGTGAATTTTTGTATGTGCTCTTGTTTGCATTTGTGGTTGTGAATGGGAAAGTTCAGATGATTTTTGAACTGAAACCAAATGCTCCTGCATCTTTAGATTTTCTTGATAAGGATTTCCATGGAAAAGCAACACATTTAAACCAGAACTAATGTAGGAGTCTTTGTGGCATGAATGTTAAAGCAATACAATGCACAAATCTGAAGGTGATCTCTACCCCAACAGGCATGCATATTTGCTTCAGTATTGCAGCTAGCATTAGCATATATAGGAGAAGAAATTTGAAAGTGCGCAGCCTCAGAAGATGCATTAATACTTCTGCTGCCTTGAAGAATTCCACTAACCAGAGGAGATGGGTTCTGCAGGATTGCATATGGTTTGCATAAAAAAACATCCAGGTTCAGTTGTTAGCCTCTCCAGTTTAAAGGCTGGACACTGATTTCACACAATGAAATAGGTCCCCCCCCCATATTAATCTTTCTTGTGTTCTTTCCATTCCTTTCCTGTAACTATGGAAAAATGAGTTCAGCCACAAGAAAGTGCTATGCATTGTAGCCAGGATATTGGAGTTCTAGCTGTGAAATACAGGTGTAACACTGAGTTTCTAATGTGAAACACAATGTAATGCCCATCACAAGTGGGCAGTGGTCTTTTCTCCAGGAAAACATGGAAGAACCATACATTAGCCACATTCAGGCATTCCCAGTGATGAAGTGGAACCAGGACTCACAGAAAGGAGGCACCGGGACTTTTTGATTATTTGATGCCTCCTGCCCCATTGCCCTTCAGAATTCCCTGTTCTCCCAGTAGGTGGGACAGCAGGGAGATAGACTTTCTCAGTAACAATGTGTTATTACACATTATCTCTGTTGTAATGCAAGGCACGGGAGAGGAGGTTGATCTTGAATGAGCAGTTGAGATTAGCCTTACAAAAACATGTTCCTGATAGGGATTAAAATTGCCCAAATCTTATTGTTGAGCAATGTACTTTTCTTC